AGACAATTTTCAGATCTGTGTTTTTGCACTTGAATGATTTTTTGTTTGTTTAATGCTTCATAGTGTAGGGCAGATCTTGGCCAAATACAGATCGGGAAAGCTTCCCAAGGCTTTCAAGGTGATTCCATCTCTTGCAAACTGGGAAGATGTAAGTTGTGTACTTAGTTTGCTTCCTACTAGTTCCCCTATAAATGCTCTGTTGCCAGAGTGTCTTTTATGTACAGTAAACCCTATGGTAGGAAACTTCCTAGTTAGCTGCCATCCTCCCTTTAGCAGCCACTTTCCAGGATCCTGAGAGACAAAAATTGTCAGTAAATCGCTGTAAACACAGGGTTTTCAATAAGAACTGGCGGTCTGCGAAATTCACCAGCTATTTCACGTGAACTCGCTGCCCACTTTTCTTTGGAAATTACCCCAGTTTTTTACAAACAACTTGATTTAAAACAGATACTGAAACAACTAATGGTTCATAGCTAATGGCAAAAAGAAATAAATTTAAAAAATAGAGGATTCATGTGCTGTCGCTAAGTAGAAAAGCCAAATTCAATGATGTCTGTGTTGTGTTCAAAAACTCTAATTTTTGCTCCAGAATGCTGGAAATGCATGGTAAGAGGCCCAGATTTGAAAATTGGACCCCCCTAGAAACTTTTGCCTTGGTGTGAGTTTTTTCCATCTCTGCCTACTCCAAAGCTTTTGCCACCTACTTAAAACATTATTGAAAAACCGTTAAACAGAACCATTATTTAGTGACCACTTGTTCCCCTCTGAGAGTTGCCATTCTATAGAGATTTGAAAGTAATGTTTAACAACTTTTCCTTCTAAACTTCCTTCTAGGTCCTGTATTTAACAGAACCTGATAATTGGAGTGCAGCAGCTATGTTCCAGGCAACAAGGACATTTGTGTCCAATCTCAATGTTAAAATGGCTCAAAGGTTTGTAAATAATAATAAACATGGAAATAAGAAAAGTTCACAAGTTATTTTTTCAATTAAGTGAGCTGATTTGAATAAATATTTTTTTTCTCTCCTCTTAGGTTTTTTAATTTAGTTTTACTCCCAAGAGTGAGGGATGACATTACAGAGTATAAGCGGTTAAACTATCATCTTTACATGGTAAGACACTCAGAGTTGTAATACCACAAAGATCAGATTTACTAGTTACATCACTTCTGTAATGCCATTTGACATTCAACTGAAAACTATCTTAACTATAGGAAACATTAATTTATTATTTTTAGAGATTCTATTTCAATCCCATTCTCTTTATCTTTGTCTTTCAGTCTCTGAAAAAAGCTCTGTTCAAACCTGCTGCCTTCTTCAAGGGAGTTTTGTTGCCGTTGTGCGAGGTATGTGACATATTATGGATTCAAAATATCTCAGGCAGATCCAGAATATTCAGATCGCGGGGGCCTAGGACACTAGCCAGCTTTAGATACAGTTTGGGGGGAAGGGTTGCCCAGCCTAGGGGTCCGTTTCTCGAAAGTCCCGGTAACTTTGCAGGCCCGAAATCAAATATTCAAATCGAAATATAAAGAATAAGAGCGCGGGTCCTGGCGAGAAAACAACTCCATTTTGTTTCATTAACTGACAGTTTTATCATGTTAGATGCAAAACTATTGAAACCTCGATCTTTAATGTAAACGGAGACAGCTTACCGGACCCGTTAATTATCGGGACTTTCAAGAAACGGGCTCCAGCCCTTAATCCACCCTTGTATCCATTATTCGTGATGACCCTCAGTTCTGGAACACAGAATCGTTTTCAAGTCTTACTCACAATTCTTTAAAATGTGGTTGTGGGTGGTGGTGGTTTGGGATGAGTGGGGCACTGTGGTCCCATCAACCTCTTCCCTACATCTGTCCATGTATTTGTCTTGAGTGATAGCCCTCAGTTTAAGAACACAAATTGTTTTTAAGTCTTTATTTAAATAACGCTATATACATGATATCAGTAACATGTTACTTACATATCTGGTTACCATATGCAACAAAAATGAAGAAAAAAGGTATTAAATCGACGGTGAAATTTGTCTTTAACAGACAGAAAACCCTAATATTCAGTTACAATAGTTTCACACCAAGTATCTCAATTTACCTAAGTATTTTTATTTTTATTAAAAAATTACAAACGCATTGATATTCTTTAAGTAAATTTAAGCGAAGTTGTGATGTGGTGATAATTTTTTTGCAAGGATTTGTAATTTTAAGAAGCTGTTTCTTTCTTAACCCTTAAAGCCCCAGTATCCACATACAAATTCTCCAAACTGATCTCCATACATTTCCTTTAAGAATTAGTTGAGAGAATTTAATAAAACATCAAGGCATTTTCTCTTTCGTGATCATTTTTTATATTCTCACAACCTTATCTTTTGACAATGTATGGACATTGTTAGGAGAAAATTGATGTTGGTCACTATTGGGACTTAAAGGGTTAACTGGAAACCTTTAACTCTGCAGTCTCCGATATTTTTAGAATTGTTTCAGTGAGTTTTCAAGACAGAGAGAATTAAATAGTGTTCATTGGCTTTCTTGTTTTTAAACTTTAATGAGCAGTCTAGAACATGTACCCTTCGCGAGGCTATAATCATGGGAAGTCTAATCTCCAAGACCAGTATTCCAGTTCTTCACGCAAGTGCTGCCATGCTCAAGATTGCTGAGATGGACTATTCAGGTATTTTGCACCTACATGTATGAACTCTTTTTTTGTAATTTCTTCACCCTTTTCGTCCCCAGTGCTGCCAAAGTAGGCACCTTACGAAACAACGACGGCAACGGGAATGGCAGAAAAGCAATAGGTTTAGTTAGCAACGACTACGACGTGAAATGACCAAATTTTAAGTTTTTTTGAGGATGGGAACGGCAAGGCGATAAATTCTACCATCTCTGTCTGAACTTGGGCATGGCCCCTCTCTTCAGCTCCAACATAAATTCCCTTCTTTTAAGTATTTGGGCGACTTGGGATAATCGCGAAATGCTTTGAAAGGATGCGGAGTATATTTTTCAGGGATGTTTTTCATAGATGTTGCCGTTGTGGGATCGTAAGGTCCCTAATAGCAAAATAAAAGACACCTACCTATGAAAATTCTATCATGTGAAATATTGTATAATAGCACCTTGCTTATGGAAGTAATGTCAAACAATGGTCACATTCTAGGATTTCTTCTGTAGACTCAAAGTTGGGACTGTTAAGGCATAGCAAAAATTAATAGTATCAGGTTAAGGTATTATTGAAGAGGTTTCATTTGAATGGTCACACCACAGAATTTCATCCACAGACTCAATTAAAAATATGTAATTTTTTCCCGTCATGGAAGCTGATGTTTTGAGAGATCGCCCTTTGTCACAACGCTGAAGAAAGAATTGTGGTCCTAAACTTTTTTATAAAAGAACGTTCAGAATTTGTTACTGCAGTTTTTATTTCACAACTTGCTTCTTGTTTCACTGATCAACTAAAATAGCATCAGCTAGTTGAAAACCTCACCAGGTTATTAATGGATTTGATTTTTGTTTATTTCAGGTGCAAACAGTATTTTCCTGCGGCACTTTTTCGACAAAAAATATGCATTACCCTACAGAGTGATCGATGCTGTAGTATATCACTTTTTACGGTGAGTTGACCTTAAGTTTTTATTTATTTTATTTATGACTTATGACTGTGTCAAATGTTTTAAGTTCAATAGGCTGTTCATGAGTCCCCGACTTTTCCGTAACGAGAACTAGCGCTACAGGCGGTCGTCTGACCGCTTCTAGCCTAAAGATGACGATGAGCGCTCGATCTAGACGATCTTACGGAAAAGCGGAGACTGTGAACAGTCTTAAAGTTTTACCTTTTTTTCATCTGTTAGTTACCATAGTAGCAATCTATGTTTTTTTTGCTGTCGGCTATTGCTGATTGTGTTTTGTGTTTCACTGATCTCATTCAAGGAAAAAACTAATGATCCCCCTCCCGTTATCCTTAATCTCTTGCATTGTGGTTTTAGGTTTTTATCTGATCAACGTTCCCTTCCAGTGCTTTGGCATCAAAGCTTGCTTACTTTTGTACAAAGGTGAGTGATGCTACTTAACGGGAAGGGACAAAACTCGGCAAGACAATTCGCCACTTTATAAATAGCCTGCGTGGCAGGCACAAAAAGGGGAGGGGGAGGGAGAAAAGCGCGAAAACGGGGAAAAAGGAATCAATCCCCTCCCTTTTTTCCTTCCTCCCTATCCCCTACCCCTTTCAATTCCTGTTACGCAGGATACTTTGGAAACGAAATTGTCCAGTTTCGAATTAAAAATTACNGGGGAAAAGGGAATCAATCCCCTCCCTTTTTTCCTTCCTCCCTATCCCCTACCCCTTTCAATTCCTGTTACGCAGGATACTTTGGAAACGAAATTGTCCAGTTTCGAATTAAAAATTACGCTGAATACAAACATTAACGGCACATATTTGTGTGAGACTCGCACAAATATGTGGGAGCTAGGCCCTTCATGCACCTAAACGTCATTTACCGGTAGCCATTTGATCTCACGTAACGCAGGTGTTATTTGCTCAAATTTCTTGGTTTTTGTGATGATTCTGCACGCGAAATTCTGAACAGCTTGAAGCTTCTTGATGTTTGTGGCAGTTGTGTTTGATCCGCCCATTTCGGCGTAAGACCAAAAAATTTCCACATTCAAGACCACTACGGCTCTTCGGCAGTCTTAGTGTGTGGTAAGTAATGTCTAGAAATTACCTTGTAACCTCGAGAAGTAAAGGCATTGAACCAGAGTGGATGTTTGCCAAACATTTTGAATTATTTTTGTAGAAGGTAACCTCCACTTTATATGTTTAAGGACCTGTCTGAAAAGGCTTTTTGTGATAAATATCTCAAGTTTGTACACTTATTTTTGAACAGGTATAAGGAGGATATTTCCACTGAACAAAAGGATGCTCTGATGGAATTATGTAGAGTTCACGTCCATGCACAGGTAAGTTATTACCAAGGGCTGAATATTGCTTTACATGGACCCGGTTGTCAGTTCCCTTGGTCCCAAAAGTACCAATCTTTTAATACAGTCTCGACCTCTATAATACAGGTCACACCTCTCTACTACGGACAGTTCCCTTGGTCCCAGACGTACCAATCTTTTAATACAGTCTCGACCTCTAAGCTACAGGCACCTCTCTACTACGGACAGTTCCTCTGTCCTGAAGATACCTATCTTCAAACAGTCTCGACCTCTATTATACAGATATCTCTCTACTACGGACAGTTCTCTTGGTGCCAGAGGTACCAAACTTCATGCGATTAGCTTTACCTCTATAATACAGGCACCTCTCTATTACGGACAGTTCTCTTGGTCCTAAAGATACCCATCTTCATACAGTCTCGACCTCTATAATACAGATACCTCTCTGCTACGGACAGTTTCCTTGGTCCCAAAAGTACCGATCTTTTAATACAGTCTCTCAGACCTCTGTGATACAGAACCTCTGTACCACGGACAGTTCTTTGTCCCGATGATACCAATCTTTGTACAATCTCTACCAACTCCCTAATGCGGACAACTCTGTAAAGCGGGTACTTGGCTCTATCCCTTTAGGTTAGAGCCAAGTCATCAAGGATGAAGATTGGTAACTTACTGGAAATGCAAAAGTGTTATTCACCGGTAACTTCTTAACTCAAAAAAGTAATTTATTTACGTCTGGGTTTTTGTCGTAGATAACAGCTGAAGTTCGTCGCGAGTTGATTCATTCCAAGTCGAGGGAAGAAGAAGGAGAAGCAATGGATTTGTAGACAGCTCTTATTTTAACCATGGGTGATTATGAGAGTTTTGAGGAATTACTATGAAAGATTGTTCCTCATCGACATGTCATCATTAACTCAATTTGTGGTCTACAAGCAAAAAATGAACTATAGATATAGAATTTCTTCTGTCTGGAACTTTTTTTACTGAAAAAAAACAGACGTAGTTAGGAAACCGTCTGTAATGGTTTGATTTTAAGATATTTAAGTGGTTCATAAGGTGCCATGTACGTCCGCTAAACAGTCTGAATAAACTCTCTTGTACTAAGGAAAAGGTTTCGGAGAAGAGTGTACGTTCGTTTTTCTCCCGAGATTTTTTCTATTACGATCGTTATCCTTTGTTCTTAAGCTACGTGTAAACGGACGCAACAGCTCCGAACATTGTTGGCCCAACAATATGGGGAGTTCTTGCGTCCGTTTCCATGGGGCTAAAAGTTTGATCGGTTTCAAACTTTGCGCAACAACTCCCAACAACATGCAATAGGGTGTGCAAACGGACGCAACACGTTACATCGAACCGAATCGAACAATGTTGGGAGTTGTTGGCCGACAATGTTGCTTCCGTTTGCATGGGGCTTTAATTAAACCATAATCAAATGTAGCCTGCGTAACACGCGCTGCTGGCGCCGGTTATTAGTTTTTTTACAAACCGCGCATTTCCTCTAGATTTCCTTCTTCGCCCTGAAAAAACCAGCGCCTGCTACACAGGCAAAATCAAATGTGTGTAAAAAAGAAAATTAAAACGCAAAAGACTTGTATTTTACACTTTACTTCACTGAACTACGTTGAGTTTCTTTAGATTTGGCCTGGGGATTGGGGAATAAGCGGGCTGAAAAAGAGCGAGCTGTGGGCTGCGAGCTGTGAACTGCAATGAAAGTAAGGTGGCAGATGGTTACAGGTGAAACAAAACAATGACATCAGATTGTAGTCTACTATCTATTTGGCGGGTTGAGTAAAATCACTTTATATGTTTGAGCTGCGGGAGATAGATTTAACCAACACGTGAAATATACGCAACATAAGGAATTGTAGCCCGGGACCAGGCACTGCATTAGGGGAAAAAAGAGAGGAAGTCTGGGAGGGGAAAGCGGCGTCGCCCTTTCCCCTGCCCAGACTACCGCTTTATTTGACCCCGTTAATGGTTTTTTGCCTTTTTCCCCTACTGCGGAGCCTGGTCCCAGGCTAGAGGAGCTGAAAAAGGAAAGCCTGAGCTACTAGAGGGGNTGTTGCTTCCGTTTGCATGGGGCTTTAATTAAACCATAATCAAATGTAGCCTGCGTAGCACGCGCTGCTGGCGCCGGTTATTAGTTTTTTTACAAACCGCGCATTTCCTCTAGATTTCCTTCTTCGCCCTGAAAAAACCAGCGCCTGCTACACAGGCAAAATCAAATGTGTGTAAAAAAGAAAATTAAAACGCAAAAGACTTGTATTTTACACTTTACTTCACTGAACTACGTTGAGTTTCTTTAGATTTGGCCTGGGGATTGGGGAATAAGCGGGCTGAAAAAGAGCGAGCTGTGGGCTGCGAGCTGTGAACTGCAATGAAAGTAAGGTGGCAGATGGTTACAGGTGAAACAAAATAATGACATCAGATTGTAGTCTACTATCTATTTGGCGGGTTGAGTAAAATCACTTTATATGTTTGAGCTGCGGGAGATAGATTTAACCAACACGTGAAATATACGCAACATAAGGAATTGTAGCCCGGGACCAGGCACTGCATTAGGGGAAAAAAGAGAGGAAGTCTGGGAGGGGAAAGCGGCGTCGCCCTTTCCCCTGCCCAGACTACCGCTTTATTTGACCCCGTTAATGGTTTTTTGCCTTTTTCCCCTACTGCGGAGCCTGGTCCCAGGCTAGAGGAGCTGAAAAAGGAAAGCCTGAGCTACTAGAGGGGAAAAAATAAGAGTCAGTATTTTGCGGGATTTCGATCCCATAACGCCTAATGGGATTCAGAAACGTTGCTTTTACAAATGAGCTATCAAACCAACTGGGACTTTCCAGACCTACTCAATGGTGAATATTTTAAGGATTTAGGGCTATAAATAGTCTGCTACACAGCCGTTTTTAGTGTCGTTACGCAACGCTCGTCCCCACTAGTGGGGAGGAGCGTTGCGTGACGACACTAAAAACGGCGGTGTAGCAGACTAGGCTATAAAGAGCAATAAAAGGATATGCAAATTAGGACACATGACCTTTGGTGACCACTTGGCGCGAAAAAAACTTTTTTAAAATAACAAAAGCAGGACACGGGACAAAACATGTATATGTGCTCGGGCTTTGTTAAATATTTTATTAAAAGTGTTAGTGTTTTGCGTTCCACTCAGCGCTACGTATATAGTGTCACTTAATTAACGCGGCATCGGAGTCAAACTAAAACTGCCCATAAGGTAGAGCAGAATAAGCTACCAAGTTATTTGATTTACAGTGTACAGTATTTTATAGTGTACAGAATAAACCTTTGTGTATTCTTCTACAAGGCTATGTCATATAACCAAATCAGTTAGTGTGCGCTGTTTTGACCAAGTGGCAAGGAGAGCACATCCATTTTTTAAAGTTCAGAAAGATTCAGATTTTCAGATTTTATTGTTTTTGCACTACTCACATATTGATTACATTGGAATTTTGATTTGTATAAGAACCAGAAATTAAGGAATTAAGATGTGCGGAGTGACCAAAGTAGCTATTGCTTCCGGGTTGGTCAAGAGAACGGAAAATAAGACTGGCCCCTTCAGAGAATTCCACTTCATAGCGCTAGAGAGTAACCTTAGAAAACAGCGGACATTTCGCAACGTCACCACTGGTCAATCCCCGGGAAATGACGTCTGAGGAAAGGCCGCAAAAATTCCATACTGATGACGTGTCACATGACACTGCCCAGAGCTTATTATTCGTGCCACGTGGCCGCGAGGGAAGCTTGCTTCAACCCCCTGAGTTAGAAGGACGTCCCAGATCTGTGTAGTGACACGTCATCAGTAATGAATTTCTGGTAATTCCTCAGACGCAGGATCAGACGTCATTTCGCGGGAAGTGATGGTAGTAACGGCAAAAGCATCATTCTGATCATTAACAAAGGAGGGTCTCGATAATTGGAGTGGTAGCTTTGACGGTTGACGGTTTATTTTTTCCAATTTTGACGGCTGACGGTTAAGTTTTAGAACTTTTGGTGGTCGACGGTTGTTAAGTGAAAATTTAGTCTAAAAGTTAAAGCAATATTAACTTCTGTATGAATTAATATTTACTGTTGTTTTTTGGAGGTTGTCTTGGCCTTAGCTTTCACTGATAAATTTCCGAAATATTTTCTGACATAAGCAGGTCAGTAAGGTAATGAGCGCTTACAATTTGTATAGAAAACCCGGATATTCCGAGAAATTTCGAATGTAACGATTCATCCGATGGAAATTTTCCAGAAAAAAAGTAATACCTTTGGAGGTATTTTTCCGTTTTCCCATTTTTACCGAAACGACCGTAATTTTCTGTACCATTTGTTCCGATTACTANAGTTTTAGAACTTTTGGTGGTCGACGGTTGTTAAGTGAAAATTTAGTCTAAAAGTTAAAGCAATATTAACTTCTGTATGAATTAATATTTACTGTTGTTTTTTGGAGGTTGTCTTGGCCTTAGCTTTCACTGATAAATTTCCGAAATATTTTCTGACATAAGCAGGTCAGTAAGGTAATGAGCGCTTACAATTTGTATAGAAAACCCGGATATTCCGAGAAATTTCGAATGTAACGATTCATCCGATGGAAATTTTCCAGAAAAAAAGTAATACCTTTGGAGGTATTTTTCCGTTTTCCCATTTTTACCGAAACGACCGTAATTTTCTGTACCATTTGTTCCGATTACTAGTGCCAGGCTTCATGTCGAGAAAGCAAAAAAATTTACCGGATTTTGTAAATGATACAACTCAATCCGGTTCCTGTTTTCGGTGCCAAAAAGAAATAAGAGTACCATTTGACGGAAATGCTTTAACCGAAATTTCCGTACAAATGGTATATAATTTCCGCAGAAATGTCTAGAAAGAGTGTCTAGAAACAGGGGGTGACAACTCTAACAAAGGCTGTTTGGGCAGTCCTATGAATAACTTTATGTCCTCCCGGAAATTTCGTCAATCCTCCCGAATTTTCCGGTGGCATTCCCCATAAATGTTTAACTTACCAAAGCTGTTTTAACAGTTAAAATTAAAATGTTGATTAGAGATTTTTGCAGCTTCTTGTTAATTATGTAACTTGTTAATGATCTAACCTTAGTTATTTTTTCGTTTAGAGGGTATCATGTTAACACAGAAAGACTGTCCAACCTTTTAAGTATATAAAATCGTGGTTTTTCAATCACCGACGAATCAGGCGAGCGCTGAAGGGGCCAACCACTAGGGGGGTCTGGGGGCATGCTCCCCCAGAAAATTTTGAAATCTTGGTGCTCTGAAAAGCCATTTCTAGTGTTCTGAGAGGACAAATTCTGTCCAAAATGTTCTCTAAATCAATTGTCCTTTTTATGCTTATTTTTATTGGCGTGACTTTGAGTAGAAGTAGTCAATTTTATTTTATACAAATTGTGCGGTTTTTGAAATTGCTCTGGATATCACTTTCGGCTAAGTATACTCTGTGTGGTGTCATTGTATGAGTATCATAAGAATTCAAGAGTCTTCACAGACATACTACTTTTTATGGCCTCATTTGCGTTTAACAAGGTATTAATTAAATGATTTTCGTTTTTTTTTTCTTACGTACTTCTTTCAAGTTTTCAACTGTTGTTTTAATTACTGCTGGTAACTGTAGGTCATGTTTCAAGAGATCGAAACACAAACAAACAGCGCTGTACTCTTCCTATGGTAAACATGGTTGTGATAAGTCATGAGGTGCTTGTCGCCAAACCTCTTCTCTGTCCTACCGTAAGCCTCCTGGAAATTTCTAAGAACCTCGATTAGTGTTCGAGCTCTGTAAATGCGAAAAATTGCTAGCATCTGACATGAAGCAAGGTCTTCTATTACG